ACAACCACACACACACACACACACCTCCAACAACCACACACACACACCCTCCAACAATCACACACACACCTCCAACACACACCCTCCAACAACCACAATACCACATCCCAACATCACCCTTCACCCACACACACACACCCTCCAACAACCACACACACACACCCCAACATCACCCCCACACACCTCCAACAACCCACACACACACCCTCCACACCACACACACACCCTCCAACAACCACACACACCCTCCAACAACCACACACCCTCCAACAACCACACACACACCCCCAACATCACCCCCCCACTCACCCACACACACACACATATTCCAACACCACACACCCCCAGCAAAGAAATAAGGAATTAAGACAGCAAGCATAAGGAGTGAAGGTCTTATTGTATGACACGTGTGTAATAATAATAATAATAATTGACGGTTTATTGAAATTCTGCAGCCTAGGGCTGAAAATATACATTGGACATAAATGACTTATTACATACATTGGTGGTTTAACAAAGCCTTCATTAGAGAAAGGTAAAGGAACATACAGTGAACATACAGATTATTGTAGGTGTTGAACAGCAAAACGTAGTGTAGTAACTCTCCCAGATGGTGTTAGGAGGGATCTCACGTGGTGTAGTAGTTCCTCACAGATGGTGTTATGAGGGCCTCACGTAGTGTAGTAACTCCCTCCCAGATGGTGTTAGGAGGGACCTCACGTGGTGTAGTAGTTCCCTCACAGATGATGTTATGAGGGGCCTCACGTGGTGTAGTAATTCCCTCACAGATGGTGTTATGAGGGGCCTCACGTGGTGTAGTAATTCCCTCACAGATGGTGTTATGAGGGGCCTCACGTGGTGTAGTAATTCCCTCACAGATGGTGTTACAGGGCCTCACGCAGGTGTGTTCCCCTTGATGGTGTTATGAGGGCCTCACGTGGTGTAGTAATTCCCTCACAGATGGTGTTATGAGGGGCCTCACGTGGTGTAGTAATTCCTACAGATGGTGTTATGAGGGGCCTCACGTGGTGTAGTAATTCCCCTACAGATGGTGTTATGAGGGGCCTCACGTCAGTGTGGTAACTCACAGATGGTGTTATGAGGGCCTCACGTGGTGTAATTCCCTCACAGATGGTGTTATGAGGGGCCTCACGTGGTGTAGTAATTCCCTCACAGATGGTGTTATGAGGGGCCTCACGTGGTGTAGTAATTCCCTCACAGATGGTGTTATGAGGGGCCTCACGTGGTGTAGTAATTCCCTCACAGATGGTGTTATGAGGGGCCTCACGTGGTGTAGTAATTCCCTCACAGATGGTGTTACTTGTATATGAGTGAGGTGTGGTCCCAGGCCTTCCTATCGTAGACGGATTAACACATCGCTGGTTGTTGGGTCTCACGGGCCGCTATCACTGGGTACCTGGGACCTCGCTGTGTGAAGGTCAACCCGGGTACGACTGTTACTGTTGAGTTGTTCTCACTGACTTAAGCACCGTTCACCACTGTTCACCTCTGTTTAACACTGGTTCCATTCCTTTCCTAAATGAAACAGCAACTTCTGGAGAGAACATGTTGATATTCCGGTGGGGAGGAGGGTTCTGGGGGGGGGGCTGGTATGGGCCAACACAACAGTTGACCTGGCTGCTCCGAGAGGAGCGCCAGGCATGTCTCGACCCTTCGGTGGTCAAGGATGTGTGTGTGTGTGTGTGTGTGTGTGCGCGCGTGCGTGCGTGCTAAATATCAGCTGTTGAGTAGCACTTGACAATACTCATTTCCATTCCATCTCTCTAATCACCCACATCTTTCTGCTTTCTCACTCCATATTTTAAAATGTTATGTAATGTAATGCTGAAGGGACACAACTTTGCTCATTTATGCTTATATCTGTACTTACCACAATCTCTCTAAAAATACTTTAGGTTTTATGTTTATTCAACACATCTACAGGTCATGAGACCCACTAATCCCCCACCCAAGAAAGGGTAACCTGACATTTCATCAGGTCAGTAATATGAGACCACTAATCCCCCACCCTACCTCCACCTGACATTGCATCAGGTCAGGCCAGTTACACAAGACCCACTAATCCCCCACAGCTCCATGGAGGTGGAAAATACCAGTCTTTGCTGTAAAACACAGCTTCATTATTGCCCATATCATAGATTATTAGTTTTTAAATATATTTACTTAACCAGACTTTTAGATAACCTATTCTGGATTATTATAGTAAAGAAATAGAGTTTCTAACTTAATTAGAACTGCATTAACAGACTCTGGTAGTTTAAACTCAAGGAAAACATCCCCAGCACCCAGAAACATTCTGGGGAAGTGGACTAATGTCTGTGTGTGCAAGATGTCTAGTTTAGACACTCGGAAACTTTTCCCAGTAACCAGAAAAGGTCCTGGATAAGGATTTTTTCCGAATTTGTGAAAGGATATATCTCGTCCCCGGAAGTGCTCTGTACCAAATGATCTGGCTAATGGAGATATCACTGTACTTTTTAACTTCTACTTGAGTAAAACTTTTTTACTTCTACCTGAGTAAATTGAAATTGGCATTCTTTTACTTGTACTTGAGTAACATTTTGCCAATGTAACAATACTTTACTTAAGTAACAAAGTGCGGTACTTTTTTACTTTTTAGAACTCTGGTAATGAGTCATAGCAAGTTTGCTATTTGAAATAAAAAGGTGGGACTTGTTGCCTTAGCATTGTAAATAAATTATCTACAAACAGTTCTATATGATTAATCCTGATAAAATAGTTATTTGTATATATGAGTGTGAGTAGAACACAAAATTTTGGTCTATGCTTAATGAAAATGTTTATACAGTCATGCACCAGTTAACGTCCTAGATACGTTCTTGGAAACATGACATTAACCGAAACGTACGTTGTCCGATCATGACAAAAACGCGATAACGAAAGTACAGAACCTATGGGATTTATTCTGATTGGTTCTAGGCACCCAAGAACCAACCCCAAGTTTCCCATTTTATGACCATTTAGACCCACTAAATATATATATATATATATATATATATATATATATATATATAATGTTATGGTAAATATCATAAACACACATAGGCATGGCTAGGTTTATTACAAAGTGATGAAAAGGGTACACTCAATACTGTACTGTAGTCCACAAAACATGTAACTATGCTTTTTTTATTTGGTCCCCCACCATACGAGTCCTTTTTCTCTCACTTCAGGACGCCTGAGTCCTCCGTTTTCTCTCAACCTTAGAGTGCACGCGAGACTTCGTTATTCCTTAGTAATGACACAGAATTTGATATTGCAACTGGGGTTGCAATTGTTGAGGCAACTTAGATATGTCTGATTACAGTTGGAATATTCAAGATCCATTGTGAGTGATGTTTAAAGCTTCAACTGTCTTTATGGTTGGTAAAACTTGTCAAGTCTGTCAGTCTGAGTGGCATGTGTGAGGCCTTGTGTTTGTACAACCGCTTTCATTCAGACCCACTAAAGCTATAATGTTATGGTAATTATCAGAAACACACATAGGCATGACTAGGTTTATTACAAAGTGATGAAAAGGGTATGCTCAATACTGTACAGTGGGTAGTCCACAAAACATGTAGCTATGCTTTCTTTATTTGAGTGCCCTGTCATAGGAGTCCGTTTTCTCTCGCTTCAGGACGCCTGAGTCCTCCGTTTTCTCTCAATCTTAGAGTGCACCAGGGACTTCGTTATTCCTTAGTAATGACACAGAATTTGAAATTGCAACCCCAATTGCAACTGGGGTTGCAATTGTTGAGGCAACTAGATATGTCTGATTACAGCAAATGCGTTATTGTCAATTCGTAGGTGAAAGATTTTATCCTCAATAGATGTAGGTTAACATTACACCTGGAGGCAAATGCTTACTAAAGCCTAAGGAAGGAAGGAAGGATATTCCTTTAACACATAATATCTGGCCAGTATGGGGAGGATGATCGTGTCTCCATCAGGGGGTCGTGGAGTGGTGGTCCAGCAGGCGTCACGGAAGTGTTTTTTTTTGGGGGGGGGGGCACGGACGTATATGCGATCGGACGTTGTTCGGTTGGACGTTAACCGGCGCATGACTGTACATCACTTTATACCTTTGTTATTTCATTTGATTGGAACATGAACCTTATTCCGTTATAAAGCGCATAATTTTAGAAAAACAGTTATAGAAGAAATGTTGGGAAAAATTTTATATTTTGCTGAGTAACAGTGATGTAAACTGATGAGCGTGCCCGGGCCATGTACAGATTTTAAATTTTTTCCCCCCTGGTGCAAAAAATAATTGTACATACAGTAAAACCTCGATAAATCGGACTTCAGTATATTGGAATTCGCTTTTTTTGGACTGTGAGGTCTCTCTGGTCACCAGAAATACTCTACTAAAAAACATAATTAATTTTTTAAGAAATGGGGAAGATTATTAAAAAAATCTTACGGAATGAGCAACACTTACTGAATACTGTACAGTGGTCTAATTAGATTGGCTTTCGGCCTACTGAGAACTAAGACACTTGAGTATGTAAGCAGGCTGGGGCTGATCAGGTGTTTACGTTTTCCCACCCCTCCACCTTCACCAGCAACACAAGGCCTGGTTCAAAACTATCACAACACCGTTATCAATAAATGAAATCACTGTGATGAACAAAAAATCAGCACAAGCCACGAGAAAATGTGTGGGTAATGTGGGTCAGCATTATATCCTTGGTCCTTTAAAGACTGGTATAGTGACCTTGGAGTGTTGACATTGCCAAATGTGCATCATGTGTGTCTAGCATTCATACACAAACATAAAATTATTTTATTTTGATTTTTGGTTTCATACACATATTTGCATATGAAAACTATAAAGTGCTAATTTAGATCATACGCAATTTTGTGTATGAAAATCCCAATAGTGTTAAGTCTTATACTGTACAGCACATTGTTGTGTTTTGAAATTACCGTTGATGATTGATCATTACTAACTTATTCTTTTTTTTTTTCAACAGATTCATTTAGAAGAAAATTTCTTCCACAATCATTCCACATCAGTCCGCAAAACTACAGACTTTGTGATTGAGCGCATTTCGTCCAATGTTATCAAGAATATTCGCACCAAACTTATCCCAGAGCTGAGAGAATCTGCACTAGAGAAGGTTAGCTAAGGCCATATTCCTTACCAAGTTTCCCTTAATAAATAAGCTTTTCTTGGAACTAAATAGAAGATAAGCTCATGCTGATTTATCCCAACAGCTTGACCACAGTTTGTTTTTACCTAAAAAATATGCAGGTAGTTAGATTCACTTTAAACAGTTGTCATGAGAAGATAAATCTTTATACTGTAATAGTGTTTTTATCTTTTAAGACTTACTGGTGATGTTATACAACTGTGATTTTTTCCCACCATGACTCAAACTCTGGAATGCCAATTTATCCTGTCTACATTTACAGAACAGTGGTCCCTCGGTTAACATACACAATTCGTTCCACAGACTCGTTCGTTAACCGAAAATTTCGCTAACTGAATCCATTGTTTCAGTGGGATATTGGGTAATTGGTTCCAGCTCTCAGAAAAGTACATACAGTGGTCCCTCGGTTAACGAACGCCTCGGTTATCGAAATTTCGGTTGACGAATTACCTTCCATAAGAATCTTCAATTCGGTTAACGAAAAAAAATTTGATTAACGAAATCCTTACGAAAATCACATTTTGTTTTGAACATCAGCTGATAAGCTGAGGAGGTACTCAGCCAATTCAGTGATCTCTTCTATGTTTACATTCAAACTAATCACTATCTTATAAGAATTCCAGCAATGCAAATTAAATTCACCCCAGTCACTTCTATTAAATTTTATGAGCAAAAAACAAAACTCAATCTAACAGAAAAAAAATAAACTAACAATTAAATACTTCACACCACAGGCGTCAACTGTCAAATATGTCACTGTCACCCCCCCTTCCTAACCCCCCCCCCACACCCCTTCCTGAGAAATGTTTGGGTAAAAAGACTAGGTTTACAGGTTTAAAAATAAATAATACCTCAGACTAAAGTTCGGATAATATAATTTGCATTGCTGAAATCCTTGCAGGACAGGGAATATTTTGAATATAAACATCATATATTTTGCACAAAAGATAAAATTTTTGCTCTCCCTAATAAAATTCTTAAATTAGATCTGAAATTTGTATGTCTACTGCAAATTTTAGCTTGTTTATATTCAAATTAATCACTATCTTAAAAGAATTCCAGCAATGTAAATTATCTTCTGGCTTTACTTTGTATATACTTTTCTGTGAGCTGGAACCAATTACCCAATATCCCATTGAAACAATGGTTTCAGTTAACAAAATTTTCGGTTAACGAACGACCTTCTGGAACGAATTGTGTTTGTTAACCGAGGGACCACTGTACAAAGTGAAAAAAATGCAGTAAAGTACTTACTTTGAGGTGTGTATGTAGAAGGTTCCTGGTTGATGATGATGATGAGAATTAGAAGTGGGGGTGGAGGAGAAGGAAGAAGAGAAGGAAGTGGGGGTGGAGGAGAAGGGAGAAGAGAAGGAAGTGGGGATGGAGGAGAAATCACCTCAGGGGACCCATGCTTGATGCAGTAATTACACCAATAAAATTTTAAGTTCACTAGGTGTAATCCAAGGTTATTTTATTTAAATCAACACTGCACTGTGCTATATATTATTAATATGTTAACTAAATTTCAGAATGACCAATAATTTCAATGTAAAAATGCAAAAATATTCAAGACGCTAACAAAATAGATGTTCACTCCACTGTCAACAAAGCCACACTGACGCCTGGTGGCTGAGTCAAGCGGCTGATGGGCGTACAAAAAATTTGTTCCCTGTACAGTGTTCCCTTGGATAACGAACGCCTCAGTTAACGAATTACCTTCCATAAGATTATTCAATTCGGTTAACGAACAAAAATTCGGTTTACGAAATTCTTACGAAAATGTTTCCACATGCTTTGGCTTGCTCACCAGCTGGAAGATTAGTCCGCCAGTACAGAAATCGGTTCTAGGGCGTACATGCGTTAAAATTGGAGTAAATATCAAGAAGGTTGTGTTATTCAATAATTTTCCAAGTTTTATATTAAAATTTTTAGTAATTTTAACACTTATTTAACATAATTCAAGTACAGGAAACTAGTTCTTGGTGTGCCCAACAGCCACTTCACTCACCCACCAAGGCCTCAGTTTGTATCTCTGTTCAGTGGAGGAAACATCTTGCTTGTGGGTCTCTTGAACACAGAGTATTTTTACGTTTTTACAGTACAATTATTGGTCATTCTGAAATTTATTTAACATATTGACAATATATAGTGCAGTGCAGTGTTGATTTAAAGAAAATAATCTTGAATTACACTTAGTGAACTTATAATTTTATGGGTGAAATGACAGCATGAAGCATGGGGTGATTTCTCTTCCACCCCCACTTCCTTCTCTTCTCCCTTCTCCTCCACCCCCACTTCTAATTCCCATCATCATCATCATCATCAACCAGGAGCCTTCTACATACACACCTCAAAGTTAATGTACTTTATTGCATTTTTTTTTTCTTTGTATGTAATTTTCGGTGAGCGGGAACCTATTACCCAAAATCCCATTGAAACAATGGTTTCGGTTAACGAAATTTTCGGTTAACGAACGACCTTCTGGAATGAATTGCATTCATTAACCGAGGGACCACTGTACTGCATATATTATCAATATGTTAACTAAATTTTAAAATGACTAATAATTTTAATAAAAAAAATACAAAAATATTAAAGAGCACAACTGTCTTGATATTTACTCCACTAGAAACGAATGTAAACATAGAACAGATTACTGAATTGGCAGACTAGCCCATCAGCTGATGCTCACAACAAAACGTGATGTTTGTAAGGATTTCGTTAATCGAAGTTTTGTTCGTTAACCGAATTGAAGATCCTTATGGGAGGTAATTCGTTAACCTAAATTTCGTTAAACGGGGGACCACTGTATGTGTGTATTATATATATATATATATATATATATATATATATATATATATATATATATATATATATATATATATATATATATATATATATATATATATATATATATATATATATATATATATATATATATATATATATATATATATATATATATATATATATATATATATGCAAGTAAATCACTGTAAGGGCAGTGATTTAGGTATAGATAACCACAAGGAAAGAAGAAAATATACGAGCCTTAGTGTCATAGAGAGTAATACAAACAAGGTGTATATATACAGAGGAGGGTGATAGTTCCAAATGGTCAGGTATTAGGTAATGACCTTACTAATCTTTAAATAGCACACAAACGTTGGTGGTCAGGTCAGATGGTCATGACCCGCCTTCACCTGATCACAAATCTTCTTAATTACAAAATTGTTGTGATTAATAAAGTCTTGCAAGGAATGTAATATGTTTTACTTAGGCCAGACAGGTAAAGATCTTGCAACTAGAATTAAACAACACAAATACAGTGTTAGGACAGGCCAGGAATCCAATGCCCTGTTTGTTCATTTGAGGGATAACAAGCATTGCATTGACTGGGATAATGCCTCCTCAATATTACCATGTAATTCAATTGATAGTAGGAACATCATAGAATCTAGTCTTATTAAACATACATAAGCATCCAACATGAATTTGAGTAACGCATGTACAAGCTGGACAATTTGTAATTAAGAAGATTTGTGATCAGGTGAGAAGGCCGGGTCACTTGACCATCTGACCTGACCACCAACCGTTGTGCTATTTAAAGATTAGTAAGGTCTACCTAATACCTGACCATTGTGACCTGGTCTCACCCTCCTCTGTATATATACACCTTGATTTGTATTACTCTAGTCTGTACTCACCCTGAAGATGTGAATTACACAAAGTTTGGGAACTCGTGTTTCTTCCTGTGGTTATGCATATACCTAGATCACACCACCTACAGTGATTTACTGACATATATATATATATATATATATATATATATATATATATATATATATATATATATATATATATATATATATATATATATATATATATATATATATATATATATATATATATATATATATATATATATATATATATATATATATATATATATATATATATATATATATATATATATATATATATATATATATATATATATATATATATATATACCCACGGAGGCCTGCGTAAAGCGGGAAACGCGTACATTGAACAACAGAAAATAAGGGATTAATTGAAATAGAAACTGGGCCGACACAATACGTACGTTTTAGTAAAAATAACATCTTAACTTTATGATGGTGTGCACACACACATAATATTTAAGAGAAATATCAATAAGAGCATAATATTCTATATGTCAGGGTAGGTTAGGTTAGGTTAGAAATAATCAAGGTTTAACACTTACGTAAGGTTAGGTTATGTTTTAATCAAGGTTTAACACTAACCTAAGGTTAGGTTATGTTAGGATAAATCAAGGTTTAACACTTACACAAGGTTAGGTTATGTTAGGAAAAATCAAGGTTAGGTTTAACACTTACGTTAGTAGAAGAGATGGGTCGGCGTACGGGAATGGAGGCTGGTTCCGAGGCAGAGGGCAGGCTACTGGCCCTCAGGTGAGTCACCATCACTGTCATCCACACTTGTCAGGGCCTCCCTGACAAATCCCTCAAAGTCACCATCACTGTCTCTGTCACTATCACTGGCTTGGGCTGGCTTTGGTGGTTTGCGGGCGAAGAACTCGGCAATGCTTTGTTGACGGCTAGTGTTGATGTTGTCGTGATACACCTTGATGTACGGCTCCATAGCCTGCAACAGCTGGGTATTGAAGACTTCATACCGGTTATCGTCAGGGTCGTCGGAAAGGAGGAGCTTCAGTTTCTCTACACACTCGATGGCACCCCTTACATTACCTTGCAATAACTTGTGTTCTTTTCGGGGTGACGCACCGCCTGCCTCTTCACTGACGTCATCATCATCTACCATCTCGTCGGCAGTCACATCAGGATCCCTTATCACCTCCATAATGTCGTCGTTGGTGGTCTCGGAGAAGCCTGCAGCGGTAACACTCTGTGCAGCTTCTCTGGCACGATCCACTGCTACTGCAACAGTCTGAACCTCACCAGTCACAGGTTGACTCTGCCTCCCACCTGGGATACCTTGCAACACATGTCTCCATGTGTGACGAACCGTTGCTACAGACAGCTGATCCCATGCCTCCACCAAGAAGTCCACAGCTTTCTTGATGTTAAAATTCCTCCAAAAGTGTTTCACAAGAACTTCTTGCTGTGCCAACTGTTGGTCCTCGTCCTCGTCTCTCTTGCTATCTGTGTCACCCAGGTTATGCAACTCATCCTTGGTGTTGGTATAGTCGTTCAGGAGCTTAAACTTCTTTGCAGAGAATGCAGCTTTCACATTGCAGATTAATTCTTGGTCCATGGGCTGGATTAATGACGTAGTGTTGGGAGGAAGGAAGACCACTTTTACGTTGGGGTGACGATCCAACAGTAGGGGTGAGTGTCCTGGTGCGTTGTCAAGCAGCAACAAAATCTTGAATGGAACATTCTGTTGCTCACAGAAATTCTTCACGTCGGGAACGAAACAGTCATCAAACCAGGAGAGAGACAGAGTAGAGAACATCCACGCCTTACGTGCGGTCAGCCAGTGGACATTTAGCTTGGTCATGTCCATGTTCTTGTAGGCGTGTGGCTTGCGGGATGTGTGGATCACCGATAACTTGAGTTTACAGGTACCGGAGGCATTGGTGGTAAAACAGACGGTGATGCACTCCTTGTGCAACTTCTGGCCCTGACACTTGCTGGCGGACTTCACAACGAAGGTCTTGGAAGGTAGCTTTTTCCAAAAGTGACCGGATTCGTCCATGTTGAACACCTGGTCATCGGTTTACTGTCCTTCCTCCATAATCTCACTTAAGAACGGAGGAAAATCCCTAGCCGCAACATGGTCAGCACTCGCTTCTTCACCACCAATGTTAATGTTGGTGATCTTGTTCCTCTTCTTAAACCTGTGCAACCACCCAGAGGAAGCATTGAAGGGTTTGGGCTCTGCAATTCCCATCTTACATGACACTGCTGAGTACAGTTCACGTGCGTATTCCTGAACTGAGCACGTGTCGACCGCCATGTTCCTTCTTGCCTGACAAATCAAGTAGCTCACAAGTAATTTTTCTGTCTTGAGAAGCACCTGGTTTTGAAAATACTTGATCATAGAAGCACTTGTAGACTTTGTGATCTTCATGTGCTCCTTTATCTTGGCTGCATCCTTCTTTATCATCCGGATCGTAGATTCGTTCACACCATGCTGGCGCGCCAAATCAACCTGTCTTGTTCCTTTCTCCAACTCTCGGATGATCTTGTACTTCACCTCACAGCTTAGGGCACGTCGTATCTTCTTTGTCTTAGGGCGGCTGGGTCCAGGTGATGCAAGGTTTTTCTGTGGTGGTGGTGGTCTGGTGGCAGCCATTCTTATGGAACAATAGATACCGATATACACGGTGTAGCCGGGAGGGGTGTAACTGACGCGGGTAGGTGAAGGGGCTTCATCGCTCCCACGGGAGGGCTCGACATATTACATTAACCCAATCACAGCTATCGGGAGGTAGGTAAGGATGCGTGGCCCAATCACAGTCCGATACGTCATATGACGTCACCGATAACGCAACAAAGACATACACTGTGCAACTTACTCGCACCGCTTAGCCAACATGGTGGGAGAGATGGCGGGACGTTTAAATCCAAAAATGGCGCTGTGCGAGATGACCGCCAGCTGCTCTCCGCGTATATGAGTAGATGCACTGCGTAAAGTGAACATTCCGATTCTGGCGGGGTACCGCGTAAATGTAGAAACGCGTAAAACTGAAACGAGTAAAACTGAAACGCGTAAAGCGGGGTATTACTGTATATATAATCTGGATTTACGCGGATTTTGTTTACGCGTTTGGTCATTTACGCGGCACCTTGCCAGAATGAAATGTTTTAATTATGCAGTAAATTTAATCATTTATGCTGGTGAAGTATAATTTGTCTATTTACTGAAGATATTTGATTTTAGCTCATAAAATTCATATAGATTACCCGGCCAGAATATAATTTACATTGCTGGAATTCTTATAAGATGGTGATTAATTTAAATATAAACATCCTAAAATTTGCATTAGACATACAAATTTTTTATCTAATTTAAGAATTTTATTAGAAAGAGCAAAAATTTTATCTTTTGTGGAAAATATATGACGTTTATATTCAAATTATTGGCAGTTTTGCAAGGAATCCAGCAATGTCAATTATATTATCCTAACTTTATTCTGAGATATTATTTATTGCTAAACATGAAAGCCTAGTGTTTTTTCCCAACATTTCTCTGGTAGGGAGGGAGGGAGTGAGAGACCCAGCGAGTGTGGGAAGAGGGGGGGGAGTTGAGTCCATTTTTTGAATGGACATTAACTGGCGACTGTATTTCTCTTAAATATTAATTGTGTGTGCATACCATCATGAAATTAAGATGTTATTTTTACTATATTTTTTTTTTACGTTGCCACCAGTTAAAGGAAGTTATTGATGCTGCAACACAAGGTTCTCCTCCCTGTTTGGAATGGACTAATGATGTTTTACAAAAGCAAGTGATGGAATTGTGTCAGGATATGACACTACAGATAAGGAAACAGTCTTCTCAACTGGCCCTCCAGCAGAGCAATGATGAGGTCCTTACAGCTCTCTCACTGCTCCTTCCACCAGGCATCTCCCAACAGGTAAGTCTCTCTCTCTCTCTCTCATTCATGTAGATCCACAATGGAAACTTGGACAATATAAAACCACACAGGAAAAGGGAAACACTGGAGCACCTTAGCTTTAGTCTTTATTCAAGACATCTTCAGAGGCAACTGTATTTATAAGTTGTGGAAAAATCCCTTAAAATTATCACAACCCTCTCCTCAAATGTACTAATTTAATTACTAAAAAGCCATAATCTTGAACATATTAGTGTACTCAATTTGTATTCAAATGTTTTAGCTAAAGGACTAAATAAAAATTATATCCAGTGCAAACTATTTTATTTACAGTATATTAATTTTTTTTAATTAATTAATTAATTATATATACAGTTGGTCCTCATATTACGCGGTTAATGTAACCTGGAGGGTCCCGCGGAAAGTGAGGAACGCGTAAAGTGAACAACATAACATATGGGATTAATTGAAATGGAGTCCAGGCCGATCCCCAAACTCCACTTTTTGACGACACACAACTATGTTGTAGTAAAAATTTTATCTTAACTTTATGATGGTATGAAAAAACAAGTAATATAGAAGAGGTTAGGTTAGGAAAGATAAAGGTTAACATAGGAAAAATAAAGGTTAGGTTAGAAAACTAAAAATTTTGTGTAACACTTACGGTAGTAGAAGAGATGGGTCGGCATACGGGGATGGAGGCTGGTTCCAAGGCAGAGGGCAGATTACTGGCCCTCAGGTGAATCACCATTACTAGGTGAATCATCATCACTGTCACTTACAGTTGTCAGGGCTTCCCTGACAAATCCCTCAAAGTCAACTTCACTGTCACTATCACTGGCTTGGGCTGGCTGTGGTGGGTTGCGGGTAAGGAAAGGTTTTTCTCTGGGGGTGGTGGTCCGGCGGAAGCCATTTTACGGAACAATGGATGCGCGTTTACACGGAGTGGCCTTGAGGGATGAAACTGCCGCGGCTAGGTCAAGCGTCGTCTTTCCTCCCTCCCTCCCTCCCCCGGGTGGACACGTCATAATACTTTAAGCCAATTACAGCTAGCAGCAGAGGAGGGTAGGGATGCATGGCCAATCACAGGTCTGATACGTCATATGACGTCAGTGATAACGCAACAAAGACACACACTGCGCAACCTTACCGCGCCGCTTGCCCAAGCGGAGGGAGGAGGAGAGAGAGGCAGGCAGGCGGGCGGGCGGGTGGCGCATGGCGCGTGGGGAAAATCTAAAAATAGCGTCGCGCCGGACACTCTCCGCGTAATCGCGTTCGCGACCGCGTAATGTAAGTATGTTAGGTTCTGGCAAGGCACCGCGTTAACGGTGAAACGCGGAATGCGGGACCGCGTAATATGAGGACCAACTGTGTGTATATATATATATATATATATATATATATATATATATATATATATATATATATATATCATGTAGATCCATAATGAAAACGTGGATAAGATAAATCTTGATAAAATCACACGGGAAAATGGAAACAACGGAGCACCTTAGCTTTCGCCTGAAGATGTCTTGAATAAAGACGAAAGCTAAGGTGCTCCGTTGTTTCCCTTTTCCCGTGTGATATATATATATATATATATATATATATATATATATATATATATATATATATATATATATATATATATATATATATATATATATATATATATATATATATATATATATATAACCCTCACTTTACGCGGTTAATGTAACCCGGAGGGTCCCGCGTAAAGTGAGAAACGCGTAAAGTGAATAACATAACATATGGGATTAATTGAAATGGAGTCCGGGCCGATCCCCAAACTCCACTTTTTGACGACACACAACTATGTTGTAGTAAAAATATTATCTTAACTTTATGATGGTATGCACACACAATTAATAATTAAGAGAAATATCAATAATAGTAGGTTTTTTAACACTTACATTAGTAGAAAAAATGGCTGGGCACACGGGGATGGGCGGTTGGTTCCGAGGCAGAGGGCAGATTATTGGCCCTCACCTGTGTCACTTGTATCAATTGTATCACTATCCACCACAGAGGGTTGCAGGGCCTCTTTGTCAAACTCCCCAAAGTCCATATAAGTCCATATCCTCACCATAATTATCACTATCACTGACTTGGGCCGGCTGTGGTGGGTGGCGGGTGAAGAACTGGTAATGTTTTGATGACTGGGCGACCTTGTGCGCACCATGTTCGCGCCGCTTACACAACATGGCGGATGGCGGGAGGTTTGGATCCAAAAATGGCGCGGCTCGCCAGCCGCTCTCCGCGTAAAGGGGTACACGCACCGCGGAATGTGAGCATCCTGGGTTCCGGCAGGGCACCGCGTAAACGTGGAAACGCCGAATGTGGGACCGCGTAAAGTGAGGGTTAACTGTATATATATATATATATATATATATATATATATATATATATATATATATATATATATATATATATATATATATATATATATATATATATATATATATATAATATACAGTTGTACCCCACTTAACGCTGTCAATAGAACCCAGAGGGTCCCGTGTTAAGTGAAATCCTCGTTAAGTGAACAACAGAACATA